ATACTTAAAACATACTTTGCAATGAGGGCCACCATGTTTGTTGATATTTGATACCCACTGTAGGTCACATGACTTAGCGGGCGCAACTGATTTATTTCAGAGGTCCTTGGAATGATGTCTTGAAGATCCGGCACATCAAGACTGGTAGGCAAGGAGAGTTTCAGCATGTTGCACATTGAGGTTGCGTAGGTCCAAGACAATCTGTAAGCAGCGGTGGAAGACGGTCGTGTCTGAGCCATGGCTGAGATACAAATATCGCTCTAGGAGACCTAGTAGTCGAGTCTGGAGCCTACGAGTGCTTTCAGCGTCTGCAAGACCTTTGCGGTCTGACAGGGAAAAAAACAACAACGAAACTCGTGGTCATCTTGGACAAAAAGTAACAGGTTACGCTAGTGTCTGGATAATGGTTGGTTCATGCCACCGCCTGTCATGTAAAACACTGACAGGGAAACCATTACGTTATGCCAGCATTACCACTAACCCTCCTGGATCTTTTAAATCCATTGGGAGGTTTTGATGGATGTGATGGGTTTGAGGAAGGAAGGATACAGGCACCATGTTTTGCACACAGCCCTTAGTTACTTCTGAATAATAAAGTACAAAGTGCTCCTTAAATAGTGAAGTACAAACTTGATTTTTAGCAGCATTATGCCTCAGGGATTAGGGCTAGTCTGGATCATGAAGAATTTTGCCATTTTAGTAACAAGTTCGGAGAGAGAGAGATTAGGCTGGAATACTTGCAACACACAAGGGCACTGAGTGAAATTCAAATCATTCCCAGCACTCTGGCAAGGATCCAAGCAGAATAGAGCTGACACCCACACAAAGAGCAGGCTCTGAGGTCCTGCCAATGTCCTCAAACTCACCTGAGGCGATCAAGACAACGACATGTAGGAGCACCGTCTCCGACTGGGTCAGCTGGAGGGTTTTGAGTTGCTCGGCAACGGAGAACATGGCGTCCATCAGCCCCCCAAGCTCTGTGGTCACAGAGAGAAATGAGTAAACGTGGGATCAGCATGTGGCCAATTGAGAATTATAGACAAACATACAGATTGCACTCCCCAGCACACAGTTTGTTACGAGCGGAACTTGCGTCCATTTCACAGATGAAGCAAGGAGTTTCAGATGCAGCAAACAGCATATAAAAATATACCGAGTTCAGAGGAAAAACTTATTGAAACTGTTCATGCAATAAAGGACATCCTACATGTCAAGGAGTTGCAGTTCTTGGCAGTGCAATAAACTGCTCATGCACATGTACCATTAAGTTCGTACAATTTCTGTCTGCTGCAAATGTAGTTAGCACAGCAATATCTGCTTGTCACTAAGAGGTTTCTTGAAACCAGTCCCTTGGGATCAAATGTTTTAATGTTTACTGTAACTGCTTCGCAATGACCCATTCAAGAATTTCCCCCAATCCATACCCAAATCAGGAAAACAGTCAAAATTTTAAAAATCATAATTTGCAAACAGATCAACTGGAGGACGTACTCGTCTCTTGGAGCTTGTCCCTTGCGAACCTATGGCCAACCAGATGGATAGTGTCCTGATTCACATCCAGAATCTCACACAGCTGAAGTAACAAAACCTCAAAACAGCCAGCCTTCAGAAGGACAACCTAAAGAAGAGGAGAAGAGAAAAACATAAACATAAGAAAAATTGCTTTCTCTAACTGACTGTATGCTAATTATGTACAAAAGTGTACCGGTGCCAACAATTTCGAACTCTAGCACAATCACTTTTTTTATCATCATGCCTGGCTGGGGCCAATCTTCCTACACCTGCTAAGCTTGAAAATTGCAACATGTAAGCCCTGAGAATATTTGCTGGACAAAAGCAGGTTTAGAACCGAGCTTGCTGAGCAATAATTTTACTGTTGTTAAAGAGGGGTGCTTTGAGTCTTGTATTTGTATCACAGCACCAGTCTATACCACTGACAAATGTATGTCCTGGCGTCTGTTATTATAGGCTGGTGGGTCATTCCTCTTTCCTATCTCAAGCAGCAAAGGCACTACAGCTAGTGATCTGTGATCTGTGGTACTAATCCACAGCCACGGAGCAATGTGCCATCTCTGTAATAGGGTGCTTCAGGTCTGTGCACATTCAGCCGAAAACTGATCATGACCACTCTCATCCAGAATGCAATTTCGAGGCCTGATGTCGAAGAGCTGTTGAGAAGAAATCTGTGTAATCAGGTAAGAAAGAGCCAAAAGAAACATGCAATGCCAAGCACTTGGGCCAACAACCTGCTTTTGCTCAACACGTTTTCTGTGCCTGGTAAGTTCCTGAATTTAATACCATGAAATTTGGCCTACGTCTGCCACACATAGGGTACCATACAGCATACCGCCGGGTGTAACCTGAACAAAACTGTATGAAGGCCTGAAGTCTATTTGTCCTCACCTGATCTGAGTGTGGGATGTCGCTGAATCCTGGGATGGATTTGGTGAAGGCCACAATGCGACCGATAGCAGGGGAAAAACGATTGGAGAAGGCTTCCTCTCGGCTGGTCTCTAGATTGCTGTTCTCCGAGGAATGATTCTCTGCTTTCTATTGGATGACATAGCAGAAAAAAAAACAGATATTGAGTGTGATCTGGTAGGTGAACTTACCAAGATCTTTGAGCAGTGAGGTGAGCATTGACAGACATTTATCCCGAAAACTGAGGTCTGGTCATGAATTTCACAACACACTACAAAATGACTTTACCAAGATAAAGATTTTCCACTAAAATTGAACTCTGGTTACATTCTCACTGAATTTTGTACAGCATGGATGAAAGTACAGGGACGAACAACCATAAATGCACATCCCACAAAAAATACTTCAGACTTGTCTAAATGAATGTATTTGAATCGTACTAAGGAGTAAATGCAGGAAGTTCACTAAATATTTTTGTTGAAAGTGTCCCAACTTGGCTGCTGTCCAACTGTTCCCTGTGATCCACAGTGAGACTGAGACCAGCTAAACCGACACGTTAGGTTTCAGTGAGTGCACTTTTATCACATTAGCTTTATTCAGGACAAAGAAACAGAGAAAATGGCACTGAAATGAGCCAACCTGAGAGGTTTGGAGAGAGTTGGGAATTTCTTCCGGTATCTGCTTCCTAACAGCAGCCAGGAGAATGTTCTCAAGATTGGTCCACTGTTCTTCCATTCCTTCCGCATACGCTCCGCAAATGGTGTCCACGGTATTGATTCCATCTTGCTCTAATCCAAGATGGCGTCCTTTCTCCATGGTGATGGCATCTCCCAATGGCATTCTCGTTTTCAGACTGCCACTCGAGGCAGAGCTCTTTGCATTCACTGTGCTACTTGGCGGGTAAGAATTGCACTTGCGTTTACTCCTGGGGGCACCGAGCTCGTCTTCCGCTGGTGAGGGCGTGTGTATGTGGGCCCTGTCCCTGAAATTTCTCTGAGAGACACTTAAGAGAACTTTGGCACCATTCTGGTACTGGAGAACTGCATTGCGTCCAGATTTACTGGGAAAACCTTCATGCTTTGCACTGTGAGATTCTACAAGCGCCAACTGTCCTTGAATTGGCTCAGGATGCGTCAGCCTCTGCTCGGCCAGAGTAGAGTCTCGAACTATTCCGTTTTTCTTTGGGGCAATTTCTGACTTAATTGTGTTGGATTTCTCATCTGAGCTTTGTGTAAGAGGTTCTAGAGGGGCTAATGGTGCTGTGCCCGAGGATTTCTCGGGTGCTAGATGTGGCATTGAAGCTAGATATCGCAGGTGGGATGTCGCGGAGTAACAACTGGGATCCCCAAGCACCAGTGGATAGGTGTAATGGGGGGAGGCAACCAGACCGAGATATGCTCTGGCATCTTCCTCCAGTGTCGGTTGCCTTGGCGACTTCCTGGACAAACCATTGATGGTAACTGCACCATTCATGAGGGCACTTACTGCCGACCGTTTCCCACTGGGAATGTGCCCCTTCTCAAGTTCGGCAATTTTGTGATACTGCAAAGAACTGTCGCGTCTGGGTTCAGCTTGACTTGGCGGGTCCTGATTGGACGACTGGCTGAGGTCGAGGGGCTCAGTAGAGGGAGTGTCAGGATTGATTCGGCTCACCACTTCCTGCCTAGCTGCCTGCAATTTGGCTTTCTCTTTCTTGGACATTCGACCAAACCTAACAGCTGAAAAGTTGATACATGTGCAACCGATCTCAAACTAAACAATTACATGTAACTGAGATTTCAATATTGATAACTAGCATTGCTGCTAGCATAATTTTGGGCCTGTTTGTTTCCCATGGATCTGGGTCTTGATCAGGGATCCAGTGAGCTGGTTCACTCCATCAATGTAGTGGGTTTTGGTGCCAGTGAACCAATGACAAGTTGCTGATTGAGATTAGGATCCATGTGAAACAAACAGTCCTTTTGACATTAACAGACAACTAAGGAAAACAAAGAAGGTGAACTTAAAACTTAACACTACGTGCTTTCCGTTTCAATGGAAGATGACTAACACACACTGCTCCAATTATCAAGTTTCTGTGTTGGAACCAGTGCAAACGTAGCACAAGATGGTGACAGTCAATTAAAACTGTCACTACAGTTAATGATTTGAATGTATGACTCCGTTCAATTCACTGCAGAAAATATGAATGTATTCTTTAAAAGAACATTATTACATCCTCAATATATCTTGCAGAGGAAATAGGATCATTCGTTTGAAGAAATGTATGTACTGTAAAACACAGTTCTTCCTTAATTTCAAACTGCCTGAAGTGAAGCCCAGAGCTTCTCAATATACATGCCAAATATATTCATGGCAACTAAAATAACATGTCATCAAGTTCATCAACAAAACTGGTATCTCTGTTCAGTAATGACTTCATCTCATAACTGCAACTTTACTCCATAACTGTACATACCATTTCTGGACATGCCCATGTCGATGCACTTTTTGAGTCGACAGGACTGACACTGGTTACGACTGCTACGTTTGATCTCACACTGGTCAGCGTTGAGGCACGGGCGGTAGGTCAAGTTTTGCTGGACAGTTCGTCGGAAGAAGCCCTACATGTATCATGAGAATGCAGACCAACACTCAAAGTTTGTTTTTATGTCTCCCTCTCCAAATTAACGCTCATTTTAAAATCAATTTTACAGGGTGGACCGTTTAACATTTGAGTACTACTGACCGGAACCACTGCTGAATAGTTCTACGATATTGCCTGGTTTTAGTTCATGTTTATCACCATCTTGAGAAAGCAAAGATTATGTTTGGCAAGCATTTGTTATGTGACCAGGATGTGTTCCCTGAGTGTGGAAATGACTGAACACGGCCAAATATTCTGTTCAATTTTTGAGCAGTTGACTAATCCAATGGATGCCATTACTACAGGGGTTCAATACTCTGAGTGTTCTTGAACTTCATACACCAAACACGCTGTGTGGTAAGTCACTGCAACTTGTACAGGCACTCATGTACATACATGTACATGCAGCATGTGCATACAACCTCTGTAAATCTACTAGCTAGATTACGCTACACTATGCAGGATGTAACATCTGCAAATGATGCTTGCCTTGGACCCAAGAGAATGAACTCCGGGCTGGGACTGAACTAAAGAGAACTCCACTGCTAGACAAATTTGGGCCGAGTTGAATGGACTTGTCACCACTAGGTTATTAGTTCCAATGACTTCTCCTCTGTGTGGTCACAACAAAATTGTAATAAGGCTCTGGGCTGTTTAGTGCCTTCATGGCCATCCTGTACCTTTCCACATGCTATCTAAGCCATAAAGTGCCCTCGAGCGTCATTGCGCAAAGCCAATAGGGCTAGCCAGATTATACACAACAAAATTATAAAACTGGTGGTTTTCTGCATGAACCAAAACAAAAGGGTAAAACTCTCCTCCAATTTTGACTGAATGGGCCAAATTGTCTTTGGGTGGTCTACATGTAGGCATTGGTTCACTGCTGTGAGCGTCCATGACCACATGATACACCATTGGGGGGTCCAAACTTCAACTGTTATCAACAGGTGAAATGAGGAAGGTTTTCTGGCTTATTTTGGCCACAACCAAGGTTTCATTTTCTGAGAATCTAACACATCCGCCCCTTTGTGGTTTTTTTCCATCTATTGATATTTAAACTGAGGTCTTCACTGCGGTGCTATAGTTGAGTCATAAAATACTGTCAACAGAGTAAAAAAAACGATACCAAGTCTAAATGCAAAAAATAACTTACTTAATACCAAATAATTTCTCACATACACTGACAGTCACTTTAGCATTTCGTTGTGAATTTTGTTTGAATTCAAAATGACTCATACATGTAATATTGAAAAATGTATCTTGATGCTTAACCTTCATGAACCTGAATAAAAAAATGTCCTCAATTTACAAGATGGGCCAATAATCCTAAATAGGGGAAACTGTAACGTGCATTATTTTTATCACAAGTCAGGGGATTCCTTTAAACACTAAACTCTAGATTCTGCTGACAATTTCAGAAATGTGTAATTAGGTTTGTGGTGTATTGTGAGTGTCCAAGTTTTCTGGTCAATCCCAAAATGCAAGCTAATGTGAAATGAGCCAGAATCCTGTTTACAGTGTTTGAGTTTGAGAGAAATGAGCTGTGTGACTGGTGATACATGTGGCCAATGGGGTCTGGGGAGGGTTGATGAGAAGGTCCAATCAACTGCCCCAAATCAGACAGCTACTTATAGAGGGTGTTGTGACATGAGCGTCTCAATTGTTGGAACCAAAATGGTGGACTCTGCATCAGTGCGCATGAACAATTAGCATACAATACATTGTAGACGTAGCCGCATGCTGTACTGCATACATACATTCAATGAACTACCCTTCTGGTTCCAAAGTCTGAAGTAGGCACTATACTCTGAACATAAACAGCTCTGCCTAAAATGATGTAAGTTGTAACACTGCCCTCTTGTGACACCAACTTACCTTGCACCCTTCGCATGAGTGTACTCCGTAGTGAAACCCCGATGCTCTGTCCGAGCAAATCTGGCACAGGATGTTCATGTCATTGTCGAAATCTGTCCAAACAAAAGACAAACCACACAAAATAATACACCCTCAAACATGTAATCTGCATGTACACGTACCGGTACATAAATATCAGAACTACTAAAAACATCTGTGCTCTCATTCATCAGATCCAGCCTCATGGTGTTATATATATGACATGGGAGTATGCATGCATCAGTGGTTGTGAAATTTGAGATAACTGATGGTAGGATTCAACTTTAGGGCTGAGTCAATTCCAATAATTTACTATTCAAATATTCGACCTTCAATTTGATCGAATATCTGAATATTCGGTAGTACCGACTGGAAGATTGTTGAGGAACAAACCATATATAGAAATCAGTTGCGAACATGCACACCGTTATACATTACAATCATTATAGTAGCTTCTCATGACTATGAGCCACGATTTAGCAAGATTTAAGAGATGAATGATACTTCTTGTCCTGTTGAAAGTGTACATTCCTTTTAAATTTTTTAAATAAATAATGTACCTTTTGAATCATTGTAAGGTTTCTTTTACTTTTCATTTGAATTTGTTTGGAACAAGCCACCATCGTGCAATTTTTCTCATTTAAAACAAAGGAAAATTCCCCCTCTCTTTTCATGAATTTTGCATTCGAATATTCAAATTCG